GTGTGTGTGTGTGTGTGTGTGTGTGTGTGTGTGTGTCCTACATCTTTTTTAAAAATATATTTACTAATGGACACTTAGGTTGCTTGTGGGAGAGAATTTCACTTAAGCAGAAAGGAGGCTGATAGCTGTGGACAACTTTTGAACATTTCTTTCTCTCCTATGGGAGTTACAAATTCAGCATGTCCAAAATGGAATTAATCAATTTCTCACCAAATCTGTTTCTTTTCTTCTCTAGTACTGTGCAAATGGTACTGACCACTCTCTTAGTCATGGTGGCTCAAGACCTCAGTCATCCTTGTCTCCTCCCTTAAATCTCCCTTAAATTCTGAAAGTCCATAAAAATAACAGATAGGAGATATAGTCATTTATAATGGAACTGTTTTAGATGGTGTGTAGTGTATCATTCTGTTTATATTCCTAGGCAAGTACAGATTTAATTTCCTATATACATGAATACAGCCATACTCTACATTTTTTGAATACCTTTTTAAAAAAATGTTTATTTATTTATTTTGAGAGAGAGAGCTTTTGGAGTGGCGGGGCAGAGAGAGAGAGAGAGAGAGAAAGAAAGAATCCCAAGCAGGCTCTGCACTGCCAGCACAGAGCCCGATGTAGGGCTCGAACTCACAAACTGTGAGATAATGACCTGAGCTGAAGTCAAGAGTCAGATGCTTAACTGACTGAGCCACCCAGGCACCCCTAGAATAACCTTTTTATTGGAGTAGAACAGTCAAGCAGAAATGTACACAATCAGAAGCCGATGACTTTTCCTTCATTAAATATTCTTCCACATCAATTTTATTTATTTTATTTTTAAATTTAATTTATTTATTTTTCTTTTAATTTAAATCCAAGTTAGTTAACACATATTTAATCATAAATTAAGGAATAGAATTTGGTGATTCATCATGAAATATAACACCCAGTGCTCATCCTCTACAAATGTCCTCCTTTATGAGCCTTACCCCTTTAGCCCTTCCCTCCACCCAACACCGCACCAGCAACCTCCAGTTCTCTATATTTGAGGTTCTCTTATATTTTGTCCCCCTCCCTGTTTTTATATTATTTTTGTTTCCCTTCCTTTATGTTCATCTGTCTTGTATCTTAAATTCCACATGAGTGAAGTCATATGATATTTGTCTTTCTCTGACTAATTTCACTTAGCATAATATAGTCTACTTCCATCCATGTTGTTGCAAATGGCAAGATTTCATTCTTTTTGATTGCCATGTAATATTCCTGTGTGTGTGTGTGGGGGGGGGATCTCCCATCTTCTTTATCCATTCATCAGTTGATGGACCTTTGGGCTTTTGGCTATTGTCGATAGTGCTGCTATACACATTGGGGTGCATGTGCCCCTTTCAAATAGCACACCTGTATCCTTTGGAGAACTACCTAGTAGTGCAATTGCTGGGTAGTAGGGTAGTTCTATTTTCAATTTTTTGAGGAACCTCCATACTGTTTTCTAGAGTGGCTGCACCAGTTTGCATTCCCACCAGCAGTGCAAAAGGGTTCCCCTTTCTCTGCATCCTCGCTAACATCTGTTGTTGTCTGAGTTGTTAATTTTAGCCATTCTGACTGGCGTGAGGTGGTATCTCATTGTGATTTTGATTTGTATTTCCCTGATGAGTGATGTTGAGCATTTTTTCATGTGTCTGTTAGCCACCTGGATGTCTTCTTTGGAAAAGTGTCTATTCATGTCTTTTGCCCATTTCTTCACTGGATTATTTGTTTTTTGGGTAGAGTTTGATAAGTTCTTTATAGATTTTGGATACTAACCCTTTATCTGATATGTCATTTGCAAACATCTTCTCCCATTCTGTTGGTTGCCTTTTAGTTTTGCTGATTGTTTCCTTCACCATGCAGAAGCTTTTAATCCTGATGAGGTCCCAGTAGTTCATTGTTGCTTTTGTTTCCCTTGCCACTGGAGACATGTCAAGTATGAAGTTGCGGTGGCTGAGATCAAAGAGGTTGTTTCCTTTTTTCTCCTCTAGGATTTGATGGCTTCCTGTCCTATGTTTAGGTCTTTCATCCATTTTGGGTTTATTTTTGTTTATGGTATAAGGAAGTGATCCAGGTTCATTCCTCTGCATGTCGCTGTCCAGTTTTTCCAACACCATTTGCTGAAGAGACTGTCTTTTTTCCATCGGATATTCTTTCCTGCTTTGTCAAAGATTAGTTGGCCATACTAATTTGTGGGTATGGATCCATTTGTAGTTTGTGGGTCCATTTCTGGGTTCTCTATATCTGTTTTTATGCCAGTACTGTACTGTCTTGATGATTACAGCTTTGTAATACAGCTTGAAATCCAGAACTGTGATGTCTCCAGCGTTGGTTTTTTTTCAGGATTGCTTTGGCTTTTCGGGGTCTTTTCTGGTTCCATATAATTTTAGGACTGTTTGTTCTAGCTCTGTGAAAAATGCTGGTGGTAACTTGATAGGGACTGCATTAAATGTGTAGATTGCTTTGGGTAGTATAGACATTTTAACTGTTTGTTCTTCCAGCCCATGAGCATGGAATGTTTTTCCATTTTTTTCTTCTTCAATTTCTTTCATAAGCTTTCTATAGTTTTCAGTGTACAGATTTTCACTTCATTGTTTTGGTTTATTCCTAGTATTTTATGGTTTTTGGTGCAATTGTAAATGGGATCGATTCCTTTATTTCTTTTTCTGCTGCTTCATTATTGTTGTATAGAAATGCAACTGATTCCTGCACATTTATTTTATATCCTGCGACTTTGCTGAATTCATGGATCAGTTCTAGCAGTTTTTGGTGGAGTCTTTTGGGTTTTCCACATAGAGTATCATGCCATCTGCAAAGAGTGAAAGTTTGACTTCCTCCTTGCCATTTTGGATGCCTTTTATTTCTTTGTATTGTCTGATTGCTGAGGCTATGTTGAATAACAGTGGTGAGAGAGGACATCCTTGTTGTGTTCCTGACCTTAGGGGGAAAGCTGCTATACTTTTTCCCCATTGGGGATAATATTAGTGGTGGGTCTTTCATATATGGCCTTTATGATCTTCAGTTACGACCTTTTTATCCCTACTTTCTTGAAAGTTTTTATCAAGAAAGGATGCTATATTTTGTCAAATGCTTTTTCAGCATCCATTGAGAGGATCAACTAGTTCTTATCCTTTCTTTTATTAATGTGATGTATCACACTGATTGATTTGCAGATATTGAACTGGCCCTGAATCCCAGAAATAAATCACACTTGATCATGGTGAATAATTCTTTCAATGTTCTGTTAGATCCGATTTGCTAGTATCTTGTTGAGAATTTTTGAATCCATGTTCATCAGGGAAATTGGTCTATAGTTCTTTTTAGTGGGGTCTTTGTCTGGTTTTGGAATCAAGGTAATGCTGGCCTCACAAAATGAGTTTGGAAGTTTTCCTTCCATTTCTATTTTTTTGGAACAGCTTCAAGAGAATAGGTGTTAACTCTTCTTTAAATGTTTGGTAGAATTCCCCTGAAAAGCCATCTGGCCCTGGACTCTTGTTTGTTGGGAGATTTTCTTCCACATCAATTTTAAAAGGCTTCAAAGGCAGTCTATCCCATAGATGTAACATAATTTAGATAACTAATCCCTGTCGTAGGACTTTTTTTCCTAGTCTTCTCATCCCTCTCTATACATTTAAAATATTTTTGCACCTATTTCCAATTTTTCTTCAGAATAAAATTCCTTAGAGACAGAATTTCTTGTTCAAAAGCCATGTACATTTTTAAAAAATTACCTTTTTATTTTAGATTAGTTTTAGGCTTACAGAAAAATTACAAAGGTATTACAGACTGTTACTATATACCCCATACTCAGTTTTCTCTATTATTAACATCTTACATTCATATAGAACATCTGTCACAATTAATGAACCAACATTGAGACATTATTAGCCAAAGTCCCTAGTTTATCCAGATTTCTTTAGTTTTTACCTAATGTCCTTTTTCTATTCCAGTCTTTCATTTAGTAGATCACATTACATTTAGTTGTCCCATCTCCTTAAGCTCTTCTTTGTGACAATTTCTAGACCTTCCTTGACTTTTTTGACCTTAACAATTTTGAGGAATTCTAGCCAGGCATTTTGTAGAATGCCCCTCAGTTGGGGTTTGTCTGTTTTTTCTCTTCATTAGACTGAGGTTATGGGGTTTGGAAGGAAAGTACCATAGAGATACTTTCCTCATATCTAGCCCACAAACGATCAGCATGATTTATACCCTGTTCATGTTAACCTTGATCACCTAAGTGAGGTAGTGCTTGCCTTGTTTCTCCACTATACTCATTTTCCCTCTTTCCAGAGGAAAGTCAGTAGCACAGCCCACATTTAAGGGGGTGGGAGTTATACTTCAGGGTAGATTATCTCAATAAATTATTCAGACTTCTTCTGCACCAGAGATTTGTCTCCTCATCCTTGTTTTATTACTTTATTCATGTCAGTATTCACATCATTAGTTTACTTACATCAATATAGACTCATGGGTATCAATTTTATACTTAAAGTTATAATCCAATAGAACTTTACTGGTTTTGTTGCTGAAGGAATGCGTATTTGTAAGACTCTGAGTAATTCACCACAAAGCTATCGCGCTAACCTAATGGTGGTACCAACTCTCACAGTTAACAATGAGGATCCATTTCCCTTTAATTTCACACACCCTTTTTAAAAGCAGGTCAGCAAACAAGGGCGAGGCCCAGGTCCCTCCCTGCCAATTCCCCGACGCCCCGAAGACAGACTAGGCCAGCCTGAGGAGGCGTGTTCTTCCCCTAACGGGGACCTTATCCCTCACCCAGCCCACCCTTAACCACCAACACTACAGGCCCGTAACCCCTTCTCCGGGACTCCCCAAGGCCCCTCCCACCGTGGGGCGGAAGTGGGCGCGGCCACGGACAGGAAGCGTCTAGCCGGGGCGGGCCCTCTCAAGCAGCAGCCCCACCCACTCCGCTCCACCACCGCCCCACCCCTCCGGCCCAGACCGGAAATGAGGTCAGAAAGGGAAACCCCGGCGGGGAGACTCGGCCCCAAAAGCGGCGGCCATTGGAGGTGGCTGCTGCAGCTGGTGAGGGGGCGGAGTGGGTTGAGAGGGTCGGGGGCCAGGGGGCCGGCGCCAACGGGAATACCGGCTCCCAGCGGAGTCTGAGGGGCCGTGTGCGCCATGGGGCTGCGAAGGTTGGCGGGAGGGGCGAGGGTGGTTGGGCCTTGTTTTTCAGGGCCCATCGCCCCCATCCCGGGGAATAAGGTTCGGGCGTCTCCGGGGCGACACTCACCTCTTCTTTCTTCTTTCTGGCGCTTTCGGGCAGGCGACAGCTTGAGGGCTTGCTGTCCCGAGCCGTGTTCGCCCTAGTCCTCGGAGGCGGGCCGGGGGCTTGGAGGGAGAGTCCTTCGAAACCAGCTTTTTCTCACATATGTGGCCATGTTGCGACCCCTGATCACGGAGGGAGCTTAGTCACCAGGACTTGAATTTTGGCAGTTTCTGCCCGAGCGAGAAGGGCTGAACCCCTGCCCCGGTGAGCCCAAATGAGAAGTTGCTTCCTGCCTCCTGCCTTCCTCCCCCCTCCTCCCCCCAGCTCCTCGCAACCCGGTCTTTCGCTCAGACCATACGCCTGCCTTTTTACTTCTATCCATTTCCCGTGCTTTTCTTTGCGTGACTTAACCTTTCCTCTCCTCGAGTGCTTGCTGGACAAGGGGGTTCTCTCGGAGTATGCACCCGAGAGTGAAGGTGTGGGAAGCTCAAGGTTCTTCTGTCACCTGCTGTTGGACTTGCAGTCTTTTAGGAAAGGATTCTGCACGAACGACTGCAAGTTGTTCTGTCACTTTGTTTCACGTTAATTTGTACAGTTCTGCCTGAGTTTTTAAAGCAGTAATTCTTTATTAAGGAAGTAGGTTTAGACGTGCTGTCCTCACTTCTGTTTTGGTCTTACAGGCAATTGCCTCCGAAACCCCAGTCATGGCGTTTTAAACTATTTCGTATTGCTTAAAGGGACGTGGGCATTTTATATTGTGTGGCTTTTGACACTTTGAGACGTTTTGTTTGGTTGGTAGTTTTGGAACTAGGTGTCCCCATTGCTCCCATCCATGTGGCAGATAAGCTAGACTACTGTTTTCTTCCCTTTGAAGTCGTTGGCATGGGGACAGCATGAAAATAGGTTTTAGAAAGTACTTTGCAGAATGTAAACTGCATGAACGAAAATACCGTCTGAGAGTGGCGCCACACAGTTTTAAATTCTAATTACGGACTTGAAATACTTTGGGCTTAACAAGGGCTAGGGAAAAGTGCTAATTTAATATGTACTTAATAAGGTGTTGTACAAATTATATTAGACATTTCCCTTTAAAGGGGCATTCCAAAAATTGCTCCTACTGCTCTCATCCCTTGGAAGGTTTGCTTTTAAAGAGACTCCTGAAGTATGAGGGTTTGACAATAGGAAAGTTTAGAAAGCAGTTGGCTAGAAATCATAGAGACTCCTCCCGTGCGTTTCATTTCAACCTGTTATATCCTGCTGTCGTGTGATGGGTACTAAAGCACATAAGTAGGGTGATCACTTAATTTTTTGAAGGATGGGAGAAGAGCTTAAAAGTTGCTAGTTGTTGTGTGTGTGTGTGTGTGTGTGTGTGTGTGTGTATGACCTACTCAACAAATGGCCTTCCCTTCTAGCTTCCAGGTGGTAGTTGGGACCATAATGGGGGCAGACTTACTCTGTTTTCTCCATTCAGGGTACAAATGTGGGTCACTACAGTTTCTTGGATCACTAAAAGTACAAGCAGACTTCCTTAAAGTGTGTCAGTGTGGTGTCTTCTCCCTTCCACAAGCATTCTTATTAGTGACCCCAGACCATAGCACAGTCGTTTATCTATGGTTTTGAAGTTGTGTGTTGTTCTGCTCCTGTCTGGTGAGACATTGTCTAATCTTTTTGGATTTTATTATTATATAATTTAGTGATGAGTTTAATTGGGAAAAAAGGGGAAAGATTTATTTCCCTGGGTTTGCTGGTTTTTGCTAATATCCTGGTTGTGATCCCGTGAGTGTTGACTTCAGGCACTTAAGGGCCAAACACCTATTTTTAGTGGCTGAAAGGAGCATGGATGGTAGGAACAGAGTCTTAAGTGTAGCCAGATGAAAGGTGAGTTTATTTTCTGTAGATAGGGTGGGCTGTGCACTGCCATGATCTGGTTTATAAAATTATTCTAAAACAACAGATCCTGTTAAGGATTTTTCTTTTTTCTTTTTCTGGACTTTCTTTTGGCAGATGTGGCCTCATGGATGAGCTGGTACATGACTTAGCCTCAGCCTTGGAGCAGACATCTGAGCAGAATAAGCTTGGTGAGCTGTGGGAGGAGATGGCCCTGAGCCCTCGGCAGCAGAGGCGGCAGCTTCGCAAAAGGAGAGGCCGGAAGCGCCGCTCGGACTTCACTCACCTGGCCGAGCATACCTGCTGCTACAGTGAGGCCTCTGAGTCAAGTCTCGATGAGGCCATTAAGGATTGTCGAGAAATGGCCCCTGTTGCCAATTTTAGTGACTCCGATGACACGATGGTAGCCAAACGGCACCCGGCTCTCAATGCCATTGTTAAGAGTAAGCAACACTCTTGGCACGAATCTGACTCCTTTACTGAAAATGCGCCCTGTCGACCGCTCCGGCGCCGGCGGAAAGTGAAGCGAGTGACATCAGAGGTGGCTGCCAGCCTTCAGCAGAAGCTCAAGGTGTCAGATTGGAGCTACGAGAGAGGCTGCAGGTTCAAGTCTGCTAAGAAGCAGCGTCTGTCCCGCTGGAAGGAGAATACTCCCTGGACCTCATCAGGTCATGGGTTGTGTGAATCAGCAGAAAATAGGACTTTCCTAAGCAAAACAGGAAGGAAAGAAAGGATGGAGTGTGAAGCAGATGAACAAAAACAGGGCTCTGATGAGAACATGTCAGAATGGTGAGATCTCTCTTACTAAGTCAAATATTTGCCTGCTTATTTTTACCCCAGGTACAAATTTACAGTCGTGATGAGTTCAACTTTCAGAACTAGCCACTGCAATGTTGCCTTTGTAGCCCTCCTTTAACCAGTCAGCTAGAGTTTATCTCTAGTTTTTTTAAAGTACATTCATGATTCTATTTCCCTAGGTCAAGAAAGCTTTATGTAATGAAACACATTGTTTCTAAAAATTGTTTAAAATGTGTATCTCACATGCATAACCAAGAATTTTGTTTTAAAAACACTTTACTGCTGTTTATACCATGTAGTTCATACATTGATATTGTTAGAACCAGGGTCTCAGCAGAGGCTGGTGTGTGTGTTTGTGTATGTGAGAAAATGCTGGTACTGGGCATGTGGAGTTTGTGTACGTTTCTGGTAAGCTTCCTTTACCCGTTAAGAGTCTCGACTTCAGATACCGGGCTATAATTCTGTTCTCTGCTACTTACGGTTTGACTCTGTTGAGTTTATTTTTTATGGCTGACATCCACGTCGTCTGAAAGACATGGTGGGGCTTTGAAAATAACAGTATTGAATCCCATTAGTTTTCAACCAAATGTCATTGAGCCATAAAAATTTGTGTCTATTGGATGCATCTTTAAAATGTCAGTGTAGATTTTGGTGACTTTGTTTTTTCCATCTCATATAGTCCTAGGAACATTGATAAGCCCCACCTTGATACTTTAATATTAATGTTTCTCAAAGAGGGTGCTCTTGGTGTTTTTTTGTTTGTTTGCTTTTAATGTTTATTTATTTTGAGAGAGAGAGAGAGAGAGTGAGAGTTGGGGAGGGGCAGAGAGAGAGGTTGAGGAGAGAGAGATTCCCAACCAGGCTCCACACTGTCAGCTCTGAGCCCATCTTGGGGCTCAGTCTCACGAACTGTGACATCATGACCTGAGCTGAAATCAAGAGTCAGGCTAATTTAACCTACTGAGGCATCGAGGTGGCCCTCTTGGTGTTTTGAATGGGGGCAGTTCTTTGTGGTGAGGGACCGTCCCATGCTTCACAGGCTATTTGGCATCTCTACATTGTTCCCATCCCCTTCATTGTATCAAACCACATGCCTCTGTGGGTGCTGCCTAGTGGGTTGGTGGTCCCAGGGGAATGTTCAGGACTGCGCCGTATGGCAGGCACTGCTATTCGTACTTTATAGAAGAAGAGATGGAGGTTAATAGCGTTTAGATAATTTGCCCGTGGTCACCCAGTGGCAAAACTAGGAATCAATTCTGATTCCAGAGTTCATACTTAACCACCATGTTTTGCTGCCCTCCACTGCTCTTTCCGTCTCTTCTTACCTTTTACAACTGTAGAATATCTGGCCTTTCTTAGGACTTTGCTTCTGAAGTTTGTCTGAAAAACAAAGACACGAATCTTAGGAACTGTGTCGTGAGGCTGTGTCAGTAATCAGAAAGGCTGCGTAGGTCTTTATATAAGCCCATACCTTTTTCAGGGCGGTTTTTAGTCCAGCTTCAACAATTTTTCTCACTAACTTTATATTTGTGGGTTTGCACAACTGGTTAGGCTTATAATACGGCTTCTCTAATTTTCCTCTAATGTATATCCTAAGACCTATTTACCCAATATATATGTGTAATTTTGGGTTACAAAGGTTTTTTTTTTTATCATGCTGTTTTTTTATTTTAAATATTTTTAATGTTTATTTTTGAGAGAGAGGGAGACACAGAGTGCAAGTCAGGGAGGGGCAGAGAGAGAGGGAGACACAGAATCCAAAGCAGGCTTCACGCTCTGAGCTGTCAGCTCAGAGCCTGACGTGGGGCTCAAACTCATGAAACCGTGAGATCATGACCTGAGCTGAATGAAGTCAGACACTTAACCAACTGAGGCATCCAGTTGCCCTTATCATGCTGTTTTTAATCAAACAAATGTTTAGTCAGTTTACAGCCGTACACAATATCAAAACCCTCAATTGAGGTGTTCAAGTTTGTGTCAATATCGAACATATATTCCAAATAATTTACTGTTGAAAATCACGATTTGTTTTTTAAATTTGAGAGACAGAGTGAGAGCGTGTGTGAGTGGAGGAGAGGAGCAGAGGGAAAGAGAATCTCAAGCAGGTTCCATGCCCAGCGTGGAGCCCGACACGGCTTGATCGCTGGGATCATGACCTGAGCCAAAATCGAAAGTTGATATCTTTACTGACTGAGCCACCCAGGTGCCTTGAGAATAGTGATTTTTAGAAATTGTTTTTTGCAGTGATAGCTTGTGTATATTTCTTCTCATGACATAATTGTTCACTCTTTCTGCTCTTAAGATAACAGTCTAAGTGTGGTTCCAGATGCAGTCTGTAATCTAGTAGCGAGGCACTTTTAGTTCCTTCCTACCTCAGACACAGCTATTGCACGTATAGTCAGGTTGTGATAATAAACATTCTAGTTACCTGAGAGCCTGGATAAGTTGAAATAGGCAGAAATTCGTATGAAATTCTTATTCTTTTCGAATTTTTTTTTTTTTTAATGTTTTTTTATTTTTGAGAGAGACAGAGACAGAATGCGAGTGGGTTAGGGGCAGAGAGAGAGGGAGACACAGAATCCGAAGCAGGCTCCAGGCTCCAGGCTCCAAGGTGTCAGCACAGAGCCCGTCTCGGGGCTCGAACTCACGAGCTGTGAGACCATGACCTGAGCCGAAGTCGGATGCTCAACCGACTGAGCCACCCAGATGCCCCTATTCTTATTCTTTTCAAATTGAGAAGACCTTGTTACCCTGTTTGGGCTATCTGCCTGGTACATGACTTCAGAGTTCTTTTAACATTCTTCTTTTTTTTTTTTTTAATGTTTATTTTGAGAGAGAATATGAGTAGGGGAGAGGCAGGGTTAGAGGGAGAGAGAATCCCAAGCAGGCTCCTCGCTATCTGCACATAGCCCAAAGTGGGACTCGATCTCATGAACCATGAGGTCATAACCTGAGCCAAAATCAAGAGTCGGATGCTTAACAGACTGAGCCACCCAGGCGTCCCATCACTCTTGAGTTCTTTTAGTAACATGGATGCCCACGTTCTTGTAGCTATGAGGGAAATTAGGGTGGAATAGTAGCAGACTTAAAATGAGAACAATTCTTCTTTAGAATCTAATTATTTAGGGGTCTTAAATATGCCTTGACTTATATTGTTTCATCTGTAGTTACGAACAGAAGGGCCTTGTATTTTTTCCCCCTAAATCTACTCTGTGGAGAAAGAGGGGTGACTCACTTACTCTTTGACCACAAATTATGTTCAGCCTCTCACCAGTAAGATGGAACTAAAATCTTGCCATGATTATTAAGCATACCTTATGAATAGGACTAGCATTAGAATATGTTTAAGTAGATAATAATTTATGATTTGGATATTATACTATTTTGGTGAATTGATTCTCTCAAAATTTCCCTACCTTTGTTCTACATTAACAAATATTTTTAAGAATCTCCTTGGTTGCTCTTTCATAAATCTGCTTGGATGTGCATCTTTGTTCTCATACAGATCAAGTGTAGAACCTTACATTTTATCAGTGATATTGAAGATTGTCAGTGTGTATGATCCAACTTGTAAAATTATTAGGATGAAGGTGATCATTAAACTTAACTTAGCCTCATCAGTGGATGGAATTCTTTTAAAAAATACGTGTCAGGTGTTTTAGGTTTGAAAATGTATGTCTCAGCCAGGGAGCTGTATTTCTAATTTCCTTAAATTCACTTTACTAATTAACCATGGAATAGTTTTAAGCTTAACCAATAATTCCTTTTCCTTTTATTTTTCTGTTCTTCCTTCAATTCTACGCCAACCAATCCCTCAAGAGTTTTGAGGAACTGGAAGTGGTTATGATACAATAGTTTTTTATACCTGCAAAAAGATCAGTTATTATTTTAGTAATTTTCCTGTGTATGTGTGTTCCATTCTAGAATGGAGAAATTCTTTTGTAAAATTCCTTTCTACTGTTTTTATTCATATTGTCTATATCGCAAGTATTAGGTGATTCATAGCCTAATTTTACTCTGTTCTTCACTAACTCATCCTTTGTTTGTTCCCCTTAAATATAGTTTAGCTTCTTTGGTTTTTCTAAGTGAATTGGTTTGGTGTTGGCCTCAAGTCTCAGTCAGGAGCTTTCCTACGGTGATGTATTAGAGGCCGATCTCACAGGAAAGAAAATATTCCCTTCTCTTGGAAGGCAAGTGACAGAGATAGAGTGCTAACCCTCCCCCCTCCTTTTCCAGCCCACGCTGACCTTCTGCGGCCCCTTGGTGCCTCTTGTTTTCTTATTTTTATAGAAAATCAATATCCCTTCTGACACAAACAATAGCTCAGAAGCAAGAATAAATGGGAGAAAGCTGAGATCTCTGTCCATCACCTCTCACTTTACCTCCCCAAACTCTTTAATTATGAGCATGCTTTGCTCCAGGTGTTTGTGACAGTGAAATTGCTAAATGAGGACCATTTTAACCAAAGATTGGGTGATCAGTAACACTCTATAGCAGTACCTTGTTGGATCAATAGTATTCATTATTTCATGGTTAAGGTAAGTAGCCTCCTTTGCAAGTGGAGGTCATTAATCAGGGAATACTGGAAAGAATGTATGTGGTAGGTTGAGGTTGCCCTGTTTCCTATTCCATAACTGGAGGTGCTGACCAAGAGTATATTTACCATTGTTGCAAATGGTACTATTGCATTTGAGAGTTCTGAGTAGCTAGCATAGCGTGCGTCCATAGATTTATGCAGAGTTTTGCTAGTATATCCTTGGGAACAACGGAGAAAGACACCTTGGGAGATGGATTTGATACTACTTTATTTGAAAATCTGTCTCTTGAAAGAAGTGTGTTAAGATTATTCTGTGTGACTCCAGAGGATGGAGGTAGGGCTCATAAAAATGGAAAGCACAGAGAGTTAAGACGTTGCCTCGTTGTCAGATACAATATTCCAAAAATTCGACCTCTGTAAAAATGAAATGAATTGTTTCACCGGGTAATGAGTT